TATATTCCAATCTTTAATAGCCCTCGGAAAAAAACTGTACTTAAAGCAATCGTTTTTAACAGATGGATTAGGAATGTACATGCTATGACGATGTCTTGAGGATTCGGTGGAGGAAATTTCAAAGTACTCGGATTTCCTTATTTTTACGCAATTATGAATAATCTGAAAAAGAAACTTTAACCTTTCATACTTCGTTCTTGATTCAAATGTAGGAAGATTGGCAAGTTCACATAGTTTTGTGGGGGAATGAACGTGGCTGTATTTATTAAAAATAAACCTGGATGCGAGTCGCTGGATTTTCTCCAGCTTATTGCAATTTGTGACGGTATATGGGTCCCATACAATTTTAGAATACTCGATGACGGGTCTTACCAGTGTCTTATAAGCTAGACTTTTTATTTCAGGAGTTGCAATAGCGAGGTTTCGTCGAAGGCACCACAGTGCTTTATTAGCTTTGATGCATACGTTATCAATGTGAGTGTTCCATTTTAGATCAGGAGTAAATATTAAGCCTAAGTATTTATGTTCTTTAACTCTCTCCAACTCAGCACCCGCAATGCAATAATTATAAGCCAAAACATTTATTTTTCTCGTAATAGACATGAAGACAGATTTTTCAGGATTTAGCACCATTTGCCAATTTTGACACCACTTTTTAATTTTTTCTAAGTTACAGTTTAATTCGACTTGATCAGCCGATGTTTCAATTTTATTGTAAATCACACAGTCGTCGGCGAATAGTCTGATTGGAACCGAGATGTCATTGCGCAGATCGTTAATGTAAATCAAAAATAAAAGAGGACCCAAGACACTGCCCTGGGGTACGCCTGAAACAACTGGGGACATAGTGGATTTGCTACCCCCAACTTTAACGTACTGTTTCCGTGATGAAAGATAAGAGGAAAACCACTTCGTGATGGCTGGATTCTTAAAAACAGCACTGATTTTCAATAGCAATTTGGGGTGAGATACTTTGTCGAACGCCTTTGCGAAATCTAGGAATATTACATCAGTTTGACCACGACAGTTTATCCTTTGAGAGAGATCATGAACAGTTTCTATGAGCTGGGTAGTCGTGGAAAGACCTCTGCGGAAACCATGCTGCGATTTAAATAATATGTCATATTTTTCAAGGTAAGCCAGTAGATGTTTAGATATGATATGTTCAAGGAGCTTTGAGCATGTACTAGTAAGGGAAATGGGGCGAAAGTTACAGACGTCATTAACACTACCGCTCTTGTGGATGGGAATAATTTTTGCTATTTTCCAAGCGCTGGGAAAAGAACCGCTACTCATAGACAATCTAAAGATGATAGTAAGGTATTTAGAAACCCACTCAGCATACCTTTTTAAAAATTCATTCGGAATTTCGTCTGGACCTGGGCTCTTTTTTGAGTCGATGTTAAGTAGAAGGTTAAAAACTCCTTGCTCACTTATATCTAAGTTATTGATGGGAGGATTGTTGGAAGAATCACTAAAGCTTGGCAAATTTCCATCATCGTTGGTGAAAACGGATGAAAAAAAAGTGCTAAAATTTTCAACGCTCTGCTTTTCATTTTTTGGGTCAGAGGCACGCTGCTGGAACTTAGCCGAAGGGTTGACGTACCGCCAGAACTTCTCAGGTGCCTCGCTAAGGAATTTTTTAGACTCTCTAACTAGACGCCTCAGCTCCCGACTCAATCGCTGAATGCAAGTTTTTTTTTCTACACCTGTACCATGTGAACTCGCTCGTCTCCGCTTCAGTTGTCGTTTTGCGTGGATTATTTCCCTTGTAATCCAAGGATTTTTGTTCGCGATTTTTTTAGGGCGCTTTGGTATAAATCGCTCAATACACCGTAACGTCATGCTTGAAAAATAGTCCCATAACGTGTCTGGGCTAGCATCTGATTGGTAAAGAAACATAAAATCATCAAACGATTGTTCAAGGCAATCAAGTACGCTTACATCATCAGCACTTCTAAAATCCAAAAACATCTTTCTTGAATGACTGTGCGATTTTTCTGGGGTAACATTCAATGAGACGAGTACCATCCTATGATCGGATAGGCCTTCTTCGGTTTCACATTTCGAAAAATATGGTTTTAAACTCTCGGAAACAAAAACTAGATCTAAAATTGTTGACGTTGTTGAACATACTCTAGTGTAATCTGTTACCACCTGGGATAAGTTATAGCAAAATACAAGTTCTAATAATTGATCGCAACTAGCTACTTCCGCCGTTCCATGAGAATATGATGACCAGTCAATCCCAGGTAAATTAAGATCTCCCAGTAACAAAATGTTGTCTCCGTAACGTAAATTGGAATCCATGTAGCCCCTTAGTTTTAACAGCATTTCAACTGGCGAATTCGGGGCTCTGTACACGCCACCAATATAAACTGTACGGTTATTCAATTTTGTCTTGATCCATAATGCTTCTACATCCCGTACTTCCTCAAGGACTTCAAATTTGATGTTATTTTTAATCATAATAGCAACTCCGCCTCCCCTTCCCTCTCTATCTTTTCTTATTATTGAATAATTCGGTGGAGTAACTTCGGAGTTTAAGATATTTTCATGAAGCCATGTCTCGGTAATTACGGCCACTTCAGGATCGTGCTCTAGCATTATGCTTTCGAACGCGTCAACCTTGTTTGCAATACTTCTGGCGTTTATGTTTAATATTTTAAAACATGCTGAATCATTTTGTTTTAGTCACTCGTTATTTGCTTCCGGTGGAACGCGACACTTGTATCTCTCGTTGCTGACTTCATTCCAGGCGTACAGAACATTGTTAAGCCACAGCTTATCAAAGACTAGATTGACTTTGGCACCGTTTTTCCTCTCCTCTGCGGTTGAATTCCACAGGTTCTTTCGAAGCTCAACAACCCTCTTGGAATAGTCTTCATTGATGCTAATTTGGGTACCTTTAAGTTTGACACAGTTTTTCATGATAGCCATTTTCTCTTTAAAATCCCCAACTGTAAGTATTACAGGGCGATCTCTACCAGTCATCTTTTTTCCAAGTCGATGTATACGTTGGATAGAGTTCAGTTTTTGACCTAGTATAGCGTCAAACACCTCATTGTTGATTTTCCTCATTAGTACATCCTCGTTTTCAGAAGACTCTTCCTTAATTCCCCTTACGATAACGTTATTTCGTCGTGAACGATTTTCTAAGTCATCAATTTGTTTTACAAGAGTATTTATTTCGACATCGTAGCCACTAACAGAGTTTTCAAGTTTAGCAAGCCTGTTCTCAGTTTCACCTACGCTCTCAAGTTTTTTTTCTATCGCAAGTAGCCTGTTTTGCATTTGTAGCATACTTTCTTCCGAAGAAGTCTGTTTTACTTGTACCTCAGTAATTTTAGCAAGGATCTCCTTTTGTGTCCGAATCATATCATTAAACATTTCTTGCGTAATAGGCCCAGGGTTTTCCTCCACATCTCCAGCTAGTATGAGCAACAGGCCTGCTACAGAGAAACAATCGCGTACACAAGCTGCAATTGTGTGTGGACACGGCAACACAATCAAACAGAGGTAATCGCTGTGAAAAACATGTTTTCTATCACCAACCTGCATGAGTAGTGGTACATTAGGCGACATCATCACGGCTGGGTTGCCGTGTCCACTGACGCCCGCAGCCGCTTGCGTTTCCTTTATAGGCAGTGGTGGCGCTGCTTCTTGAAGTTCTTCTGACGTCATCGTGCCCGTGAAGGGTGCGCTGTAGATGTTGGCCACGTGTAGCAACTGCAGATGAGCGATGTCAGCGCGATATCCGATAGGCGATGAAGACGACGTTTGGCCCGAAGCGATGAGTAGGCACCAAGTGCAAACCTGCATGAGTAGTGGTACATTAGGCGACATCATCACGGCTGGGTTGCCGTGTCCACTGACGCCCGCAGCCGCTTGCGTTTTCTTTATAGGCAGTGGTGGCGCTGCTTCTTGAAGTTCTTCTGACGTCATCGTGCCCGTGAAGGGTGCGCTGTAGATGTTGGCCACGTGTAGCAACTGCAGATGAGCGATGTCAGCGCGATATCCGATAGGCGATGAAGACGACGTTTGGCCCGAAGCGATGAGTAGGCACCAAGTGCAAACCTGCATGAGTAGTGGTACATTAGGCGACATCATCACGGCTGGGTTGCCGTATAGAAAAAGTAAAGAATGCAGGGCATCAATCGTCCCGAGAAAGCTAGTACATTGACGGGGAAAGAGCGGAAGACTTTCTCCGGGCAGAGTGTCGTGGACTCCTAGGACAACCACATAACTGAGATCATTTTTCCTTCGACACGCAGTGTCTCGGGAAGGCTGATCGATTTTAATACAAATACGATGAAACTGATATTGATAAAATGACATCCCCTTTGAGTGGTGACCCGAAGACTTCTTTGTACAACTTCAAAAGTGCTATTTGTATTTTTTTTTTCTTTTTTCATTCACGCTTGATGTTATGATATACAATGAATGCCTGGATTCTGAGTCGGATGCGGTTCTACATTTTGCCTAAGTGGTTTGGATACTGATGCAACGTATGTGGATGCAGATCGGATATGAATACAATAATGTAAAAGGTTTGCGGATACGGTTCGGATGTGGATACAAAGTCTGCGTATGCGGATCGGATGCAGATAATTGAACCACGCAGGGCTCTATTTGTGTCCTTGATTGTCGTTCTTGCTATTTATGTTTATTGGTCTCAGTAAACACATATTGCACAAAGGACAGACAAGGACATGAAGAATCCAAATTAAAAGTGCTAATCCCATCTTTGTGTCCTTGTTTGTCGTTCTTGCTATTTATGTTTATTGGTCTTCATCATTTAGGCTGGAATACATGCACTCAGGGCAGTAACATAGTGGTATTGTTTCTGGCAGTTGTTTTATCAGTAGTACCTAACCTAAGTTGTTACCTAAATGTTTTTGGCAGTTGTTTTTATCAGTTGCATGATGTCTGACCTATATTATTTTTAAACATTTGCTACCTCTCTTTTAGACTGATGCTTTGTCTTTCCCTGAATTCAGTTTTGGGAGTTACTCAGCAGCATCGAGTCAAGACTGAAGAATCCTCCTGACGATGACGTTAGGACAACCAAAGAAGTAGATAAGTTGCTGACAGAGCTTCAGGACACTACCTCCGTCATTGGTGAGGACAGAAAAATAAGTTGGAGTGTTTTCGGGCTTCTAGGAAGTTAGGCAACGCTTGTCTCTATAGTTTATCGGGTTTCTTTTTGTCCATCTGCCTTGTCCATTAGAGTCCCAGCTCCAGACGCTCAAAGAGACATTCCAAAGCCACGGAGAAAGCTCGGAGGGAGAAATCTTCTGGCTTATCCGGGAACAGATGAGCCACATCAAGGCCCTTCTCTCGAGCAGGAGGAACGACCTGGTTCAGGCAGGCCAGTTCCTCTGCTGCGAGGAGAATGCACTGCAGGTGAGGATTCATTGCACTGTCAAGTAGCTCGTGAGCATAACGGTGACTCATTACATTTTTTGCAGTAGTACCTTTGTGGGTGAAAATAAATTTCCCTGCATATTGACAAGTCATTTGTAAGACCATGTCATGTTTGCGTTGAGCTGTGCGTGTCCTTAGTCTCGGGGTCAATATAATTTCGGGAGGTTGGGGGAGGGCAAAGAGATAAAAGGGATTGATGCAATTAAAAGGGGAAAGCATGAAGCATTCATACACGTCCAAAGTTTGGCGTGCTTCATGATGTATCTAGGGCAACCAACAGAGCTAGCTCCTCTGCATCAGAATGCACAATCATTAACCCAGGGATAGAACTGCTGCACCAATTGGGCCACTGTGTGCCTAATGATTTTTCATGCACCACACTAATACAAAAGTATAAATAAGAACAAAATTGCACCTGCATTGACACTGGAACTTTCGACCCAAATGGGACACCAGTGGATTCGAATCCGAAGATCTGTATCTGAAGGTTGCTGCCGCCAACGTTAGTTGTTGTTGCTGGTGCATGCTCACCGCGTTTTTCTGAAGCCCTGGAGTTACTTCTTCATAAGGTATAAATATTGTAGCAAACATGTGACTACTGCAATCCTGCAGCCCCGCGTTGGCCCGCCCCGCGTTGGCCCGCCCCGCGTTGGCCCACCCCGCAACCCCACGCCAAAAACTTGGAGACAAAGGCGAGCGAGCAGTGAGGCGTATGACGGAGCAAGATGCAAGTTGCCAGATCGTTAACGCTTACCATATTTGCGCTCTTGGTGCTTTGAAGACGGTGTGTGCGAAGTCAAGAGCTACCTCAAGCGATTTGCCAGTGATGTCACGAAAGTGCCTTTGACAGCAGACTTGCTGCAAGCTGTGACGAAGTCTCGTGAAGTTTACACAAAAATTCTAAAGGTTGAAAAGCAAGACGACGAGAAGCGAAAGAGGAAGAACAGTAATGCGAGAAAAGCGAGTACGAAGAGAGCTCGTCTCCAGGGAGGAGAGTGACAACTTAAACGGTGCATCATCTGTTTACTGATTATGCCTGTATGTGCAGTCATTGACTGAGTTGGGTCTCAAAAAAAAAAAAAAAAGGCTCGAGGTACACCTAAGCACTTCTGAGTTGTGAATGCGAAAGCATGAATATCGTTCTTGCGCACGTCCTTGTGAAGTTACCACCCCGTGCTGACATCAGCCGTGCCGCACTCTCCAGAGCGGCAGCATGGTCGATTCCTTTTCTGCGCGCTGATCTGCCCAAGCGCGCCAGATGCTTCGTGTTACGGGCGCGTTGGCGGCGCGGACACGCGGCGCCATGGGGTGGCCGTTGTTAAAACTGACGTGCCGCAGCCAATGGGAGCCTCGTTCCTCGAAACTATGAAGCTCGCCAGCCAATGGGATTGAAGCCGAAATCCATCAGATTTCGGCTTCACTTTATCCTATTCAGAGCGGGCAGACTAGGTGCCCTTTGGCTGGGCTTTTCGCGTGGCTTCAAAGCTGGGAGCCACCAGATTGCGGCTTCACTTGGAGAAAGGAGTGTAGATCCCGTTTTGCGTGGCCTCAAAGCCGATGACGTCGGCTCGCTCCACAAAACAGTAAATGCTTCCACATAAAAAAAAAAAAAAAGGGAGATGAAGAAGATTGAGTTTGGACAAGTGGTGTTGCGGAGGCTAATGCGAAATTGGTTTAGAATCCTGAAAAAGTGAAGTGTATCCATGAGCGTTTGGTGAAATCCCAATATATTTATATGTCCAAGGACATTAATTATCTTATTCTAGTCACTGAAAAATGAAAAACCATTTTTTTCCCTGTATTTTATTTTTGGTACACCTTACTAGTCAATGCTGCAGTGAAAGTTGTTTGTACTTGCTTATATTTGCCTCTTTGCAAGTTGGTTTTATCGTGTGTCACACTGTCATGGTCAGTTTTGCTAAATATGTGGTGTGGAGTTTGCACGTAATTTTGTGAAAAATATTTGCAACTAAAAAGTTTATTGACACTACCATTAAAAGTTCACAAGGGGGTATCTGCATGTCATATTTTTTTTAGTTTTTTTAGAACCAGGTGACATTTAGCCTCCATTTTTACATTCTTAGAACTCGTATGTTGCTCCCAACTTGCTTCAAGACCTTGTTTTTGCTGCCCTCAGCTTGTTCCAAACTGAAGTTTTCTCTGCTTCCAAGATTGCTCCAAAGCTGCTTTGCCCAGTTCCATCCCTGTTAACCTTATTTAGGTTGGGGTATGGCTCGAGCCAGCTTTATGATTTAGATGACATAATATGTGAAATTTTGAAGATTAATAGTGGCTTAGGCTAGGCACCTAAACAACAATAGTAGAGTGTTTCAGGCAATCTTTTTACAATATTATCTTTAAAATGGTATAAATGTAACAGCGCGTAACAACAAACACCAAGAGAAAGAACACACAACACAGGACTAGTGCTGTTTTGTGTTCCTTGTCTTAGTCTTCATTGTTACGCGCTGTTACACCTACTCCATTCTAAACTTCCACAAACTAGCCCAGCTCTCTACTTCGTTACAATATGGTTTGCAAAGCTGCTCTGTGTTTGGAATGGCCAAGCCAAATTGTCATCTTATGTTTTATCTTGGCTCATCCTTATTGGCAGCTGGTGTCATGGCTGGACAAGCTGAACAAGCTCGTGGAAACCAAATTTCTTAATACCGGCCACAGAGTCACACAGGCGGAGCATGACAGAATGGACGACATGGCACGAGTGAGTTCCTTTTCTTTAAAATCAACTTCAGTGACTAGCCACTTTCTCCGGCACTGATTTTCAGAGGCTCTACCTACCAAATTGTCCTTGGAAGTTAAATGCATTAGTCTTCCGGTGTTTGCAGGGACATGTTCTATGCCAAGAACGAACAGTTGATCGTCTCTAGGGTTCTGTGAATATTTTAAATTTCGAAAAGTAGTTTCAGATAATACACTATTCGATACTTGCTTCGAGAATAACTGCACTATTGACATTTTTCAAGTGTTGTTCGCGGCCGAATCGCCTTGTTGAGTGCGCTTCATACTGAGCACTGGTGCACTGCAGAGAAGCAATGCCCGCAAAAGCGCGCTTCGCGGGTGTTGCTTCTCCGCAGCGCACCGGCGCTCGGTATGAAGCGCACTCAACGTGGTAACCTATTCATACTGGAAAAGTATGAATAGCGCGATTGTGTGCTTTCATCATGCGCAATACTTTATTTATTTCTTTTTTTCAAATGTGAGATTGAAGAAAGAATATTTGCATATAGCAAGAGTTGGAAATTCACTCAGTTAAGTATAGTTGGCCATATTTCTAGGATTAATTTTATGTCAGATCCATCGTTTACTTGCCATCCCAAGGCATCACACTCTTTGAGGTCACAGTCCATAAATACAGATACATTAAATTTTTTTTTGCATTTACACACTTTGTGCAGATGTCATATTAGGTGCCAATAGGACACAGCAAGGTACTGTGGCACGTCTCTAGTGATGGAGGCGTACCCACGGCTGGTCGGGGGAGCGCCACAGTAACCATGCTTTATAAATTGTAAACCTTTTTAGGGCGCTTTCGGGGTGCCTTTCGCCAAGGAAAAGTGCCCTACGAAGCTCACTCAGCATGAAAAGCAATGCGACCGTTCTTAGGCGATATATATTGCGAGTATCCGGTGGCACGCTCAGGTATATCCGCAACTCTGCGTATAAGAATTCGTATGAAGTCCAACTGCTGACCGCCAAAGTCCGCTCGCACGAATCAAGTTTCGTTTACGGAGAGGCTACCAGACACTCTCAGCTTACAGCACAGTGTGCACTTCGCTGTGCCATTCTGTTATGGATTAAATGAGTATGAGTATGAGAAATTAGGCCTAACCACTTTCACGATTTCACTGTCCGAAAGCGGATCGCAGACAACGGCTTGTTAGTTGACATCAATGTATCCGATAGGCGAAGATTATTCGGGGCTCGGCAATTCCTTGACCCAAGCTTCGTCAAGTGTGCGCGACACTCGGTTTCATGGTTGTTCACTTCCTCAACTACGCACTCACGCTTGGCTTGGCTTGACTTGACCTGACTGCTTGGTGGCAAATGAAAACTGGCTTGGTAGCTTGCTAAATTGGACGGAATTCGAGTCTCGTGGATTCCAAAATTGGAGGGCGTTGATTACGGGAGGGAAAAAGAATATGTCCAAATATTGATACCCGTTGTGGGGGGTGCGTTTATTATGCGAGTGCGTTTATTGTGCGAGTAAATACGGTATATCATATTTTGTGAAGCAAATGACATAGTGTGTTTTACTAGGGCTTTTTAATGCAAAATCACTCATTATCCCGTTTCGGCTTCCAGAGCATAAGACAGTAAAATGGAAGGTTTGAATTCCAGGTTGTCCCTTCCCCAGTGAGCGTATGGGGCGTCGCTCATAGCCTCAGTTGCTTTGCGACATAAGTCACCAACATTTCTTTTTATTAAACTATGAGTGGATGACATAGGCTACATTCTAAATTTGTTTTGTATAGCTCTTTCTGGTGGTTTGGAACTCTTTTAAATCTAAATTGATGAACTGCAGGTCTACAAATACTTTCAGTCCTTTATACCCTGTAAGATTTATTGATGTTCTTGCATTGATTAAAGACTTTACCGCTTTTCGTTTGTCGGCCCTTTTTATTATAAGGCTCTTTTCAGGGATTGCAATGTTCAAGATGGTTGGATGAAGAAAAAAAATTAAAGTTGTGAAATGTCTTTGCAGGGCACGTATCACTACGGTCTTCGGCTTCTTGACGACGCTGTGAAACTGCGCAAGCTAACTGGCTATGGTACGGCACCTAGCAACCGTGTGGCGGACGCTCTCTTTGATGCCTGGGTCGGCTACGTCACGACTTCGAGGTGCCTGAGGCGCTCTGAACAACCTCCCATTGCTAAAGAACCACAGGTGCTGCCTAGGTGACTGGTAAGGGGAATGTTTCAAGTTCCTTTGCAGTTGGGAAAGATAGATACTACTATATTTTCATTGTAAACTTGCCTTTCTCTGATGTGTTCGAAAGTTCAAGGGTAACTTCCATTTGTTAAATAAAATCCAAAATAAACCAAGGCAGGCTAGGGCAGAAAAGTCTGGGTTGGTACTTCGTAGGGCGACCAGACATCCCGTTTTGGCCAGGACAGTCCCATTTTAAAGGTTCATTTCTACGGTCCAGTCATTTTGTCCGAATGTAGCCAAATGTCTCGTTTTCATGGGGACTTCCTTGCGAAATCAGTACTGGGCAAGTGGTAGAAAACAAAAATGATTACTTCTGACAGTGTATTAGAATAAACAGTATAAAAATGTTATCTCCAATAGAGTATGATTTTTAGCTTTTTCTGTGATGCCACTTGCCAACAAGTTTGGTTTGCACAAATGTGCATATGGGTACTTTTCTAAAGTGTGCATTTTCATGGCAAATTGAATATACCGTATAATCGCGTGTAAGGGCCGCACCCCCATATTTAGGGCAATGTATTGGAAAAAAAAAAATTACAGAAATTATTCGCGTATGTGCCGCACCCCCTTGTTTCTGAGGCGCGCCAACTGTAATGCCACGTTTCTATGAATATATATCGCTAGGTGGCGCTAGCCACCGCCCGAGCACGTGGCGGCACGTGTCCGCATCTCCGATATTTGCTCTCCACTCATCCGTATCACCATATGGCATAATGGCTGTTGAGCTCGGTCGTGGTTGGCTGCAATGTCGGGATGCGTCTCTGTTGCGGCAAGGCATTGAGAAAAGATAAGGGATATGTCAGCTTCCGTGGCAAGCGCGAGGAACAAGGATTCAGTGGGCTTGGCTCGTGCGTGCACTCAGGTTTCCGAACGTCACTGTACGCTCTGGGGAGGTTCCCTTTTGTTCTTTGATTCGTGTCAAAGCGTCGTGATTTGTCTGCCTTTTGGCGCAATCTCAGAGCTGTGGGCAAGTACCACTTTAACAGTCATACGGGATTCAAGTCAAAAGTTGCCGCGCATGCTATCAAGTACGGCAATATTGCGCAGTATGTAAACTAATTAAATCCAACTGACGGTTGAGTCCGGATTCCGTAGTGAAGGCGTTTCCGACCAGTGCAGCCGCTCACGTACGTTTATTTCGGAATGTGGATACAGATATTTTTTTTTATTTTATCCGTGTTTGAATATACCTTATAATATACCGTATAATTGCGTGTGGGCCGCACCTGTGTAAGGGCCGCACGCCCATATTTAGGACAAAGTATTGGGGAAAAAAATTACAGAAATTATTCGCATATGCGAATAATTCCGAATAATATCGAAAATGTTCCCTTAAACTGGGAAAAAATAGTGCGGCCCTTACATGAGTTTATACGGTAGTAGCAAAGCTTTTTTCTTTGTCTCGCTGCACCTCTCCCCCGCCCCTTCCCCTTAGTGTCCCGTTTTCAACTCTGAGGAGAATGGTCACCCTAATACTTCAGCATGGACCTTTGGGAAAACCCTGTGAAAGATAGCTGAGATGTTTTACAAGAGGAATGCGTGTTCTTCCTACTCAATGAAGTGGTCATTTAGTAAAAGTGTTTTATGCTTTAATTTTTGAGAAGGTAAATATTTTGCTGCCATTTGAGCTGATGTCAATGCTGTACTTGTTTTCATTGTTTCTGTTTCAGAATTTTCCCGGCGTAAATGAAAATGTGGATGACAACAGCTGGTAGCATTTACTTACGAGATGCGAGTGCCCAAAGAGAACCGCTAGTCAAAAAGAAGAATTGTTATTTTTTTACTGTTTATTTGAGGTTTGTACGTCGTAACACCGTGAACTTAGGGAAGCAGCTACTTAAGAAGCAGAAGGAGCCAGTGGAAAGCTGCAAACAACTTGGACTTTTCACGAGGCAGCGTCTTGGAGGCCATGATGCATCCCTGCGGTGGTAAAGAGAAGGCATACATGTGCAGCCCTGGCCAGGAGAATGTGCTTGGAGAAGAGGCACTGAGAAAACTTCAGGACACCGGAATTTGTCACTTTAAAGGGATACTACAACGAAATTTCGGCACTTATTTCTTGGTCTATACGTGTTCAAGAGAGCACACCTTCTGTTGAAAAAGACACGAAAAGGACTTTTAAGACAAATTATACGATTAGCAAAGGGCACCTGGTGGATGTCGCTAAACCATCATTTGTAACGCCCGTCTAGGAACCTCGACAGGTAGCAATGATGCCTGTCTCGCCTAGAACTACACGAGTCTCGAACCTGACGTCATCCCATGAGCTCTCCGGTCAGCACGAGAGAAGGGAAGGAGGAACTCCCCTCTCACGGTGCTCTGTTTTGTGTGTCCTAGACTTGCCCAGATGTTGCCATTGTCCTTGTACAAGATTAGAGAAGATTAACCCGTCACTCAAAACTCGTACATAAAGTCAAAAACTGCCGACGTGCTGGAACGGCTAGGGCATCCTGTCGATGTCAGCCTTGCTGCAGCTTTGCTCGTCCCGAGACAGTTTACGTCGCAATTGTGCCGGATGTCACTTGTTCTCCACTGGCTGCTCTCTGAGCGCTTGCCAGAGTGGGTTGTTTGTAACGAAAAATACAGCCATCAGGCTCAAACTACAATTGTGTGATTGTAATTTACGGATATTGTGGATGATATTCAGTCGATTTCTGAACACGACTGGTATGTTTTAAATTTCGTTGAAGTATCTCTTTAAAACGCAAAAATACTTAATTCACTTAATTTCCAAACATGGGCTCGATTTGCGGAAAATTGCTATGTCTCCCTCATTTTTATATCTCTTGACTGCCATCATACAAATATGTTGCTGGAAGTGTGTTGGAAAGGGGTAGTATGCATTATCCCATACATGAGTTATAGAGCAGACAAAACTGAAAACACATACTTCTTTAACACGACCTTCTTTAGCAAATAGTATGTCTATAACGTCTTTTTTATCAATCTTGCATTTTATGGCAGTGGTGGTTAGGAATCATAGCCAATTCCAGTCAAGACTTGTGATAGATGAATGTGATGATACTTAAAAAAACAAGATGTGAATATATAACTTGTTAAGAGTTTGGGCATTGAAATATTTCAGCCATAGTCAATATCGGGGATGTCATATCCATGATTGCAGGTGTTTTGGCAGAAAAGAGTATTATCTTTCCAGGTGTTTCTAGCAATTGACCCCGTAATTGATGACGTCACAACATGGCGCTGTGGTCCCAATGAACTTGCTTGGGCTGTTGCTATGGAGAAATACATGGGAGCTCCACATGAGGTTAGAATTCGTCTGATAAAAAATCATATTTTTTGTAAGCCTTGTGTTTTCTCAATATCTAGTAATCGTGAAGACTTTTTGTATCGTCTCAGTGCCACAAAGCAAGTATAAAAGCCCGTTACAAAGTTTCAGAACCGGTTTTGTCTCACTAGCAGATGACATGATGGCTTTGCAGGTTCAGTGGTTCTTTCTGAGGGATTACGCAACCCGTTAAATTAAGTGTGTGAGGAGCGACAAAACCTCTATCCTCGGGGCTAACTTTCTGTGAGATTTGGGAAGTGAAGAGTGCTTGTAGCTTTGATCGACTGTGGAAGCTTCCGCAAAATTTGATGCAAATGAAAACACGAAGAAGCTGAATCACACTACAGGGATGAGCTGAGCTAGTTGGGTATCATACGGCACAGATGGAACCAGCTTGTTCAGCTGGTTCCACCCATGAAACTGAATCACGTATGACGATGATGTATCAACGTCAAAGTGCAGACCAGCCAATGAGGCTAGCACACATTTCAAGGAGTTCTGATGGCATGGCTGCTTCAGTGCACATTTTTGTAATCAAACAATCTGTTCGTAACAGATATATGTTACCTGACGTTTTTATCCAGCTCTTTTGCTATTTGTAATCTTAATGAAATCGAGAAAAATCAGTAAGATTTTTTTTTCAGTGTGATGTTTAGAAGCAGGTATGAAACACACACACACACCATTGTGAGCCTCAAGAAACAAATTTTGGGGTCTCGAATTGATATGTTAGATTCAAAATAGTGTCTCCTGCAAAAAAAAAAAAAAGAAAAAGTAGAGGGTTTGACCCTGCTTTGATATCACAGGGTGGCACTCAGTTGGTTGAACAATATTTTAGCAACTGCCGACTTTTTATTGAAAGACTCGTTTGCAAATAGTCGGGCGCCGCAAAGCGGCGTTTACAGATGGGCCAAGTGGGTTAAGATTTTTGTGCATGTGATATAGACATGATATCATGCACTGAACAGGTGCTTCTCACTCTATTTTTAGTAAATCTCCATATGCGGGATGATTTTCATCAGACAGTACACCGTAGCGTACGCAAATACAATTAGTTTTCATAAACCTGATGAGTTTTCTTAGACCTGCCATGTTCCCAATAGATGCAAGTTTAAAATGATAGCATTATCCAAACAATTCAAGCTGCTGCAGACGGCATTCCCCATTCATTCCATGTGCGTTTATCGTCTGCAGCAGCCATCTCGAGGACCGGAAGGTGTCGGGGAAAATATTTTGGAAACAGCCGTTACTCGGCAAACTTCTGTCGTGGTAATTGTGAAATCTAGGCTTCCTATATCTCTTCTTCTTAGATGCTTAAATTCCACTTCTAATTTTTGAACGATGGAAATCCAGTCCCATGTATTCATCCATAGCAACGCCCCCTAGCAACGCTTTGTTTGGAGCAGTGATGTCACTTGCGGAGTCAATCACGTGGCAACAAGGGTGTATCTCTTCATCAACCCGGTTATTGTCTAGACAACCAGCACTATACGCCACCTCATTGTTTCTAAACAAGCACATTTGCACCCGTGTTTTGAAGAGAAGGGCATCTGCAGATGGCACCCCGCCCCTCCCACTGCTTCCTTGTCTTCATTTCAGATGCCTAAGCCATGTATCCATCTCGCAAGTTACGTACACTCATGACATACTATAAAGGGTTCAGGTGTGAGAGTGTAGTGACTGTAATTGGATGGCAGGAACTCCCCTGAGCTCTTTGTTGTATTCCACAGACGTTGTTTTTGTGCCTTTTGGGTATTTTATTGTTCCTCGAAGTCCATACAAAAAGGGGTTCCTTCTTTTCCTGCCTTTTGCTTCGATTAGGCTGTACAGAACTTGTAAGATGGAAAAGAGAAATGGAACACTCGGCAGCAATGAGGAAGAAGGATGAAGGAACACTCGGCAGCAGAAGGATGAAGGATTAGTGAACCATGCTAAAGTTGTATAATGAAGTCAAGCGAGTCAGGAGAGATGTTCTATGCTACTACTTAAGGGGCAACTCCGCATCACTTTTTTTTTTTGTTAAAACAATGCACTTCTCTTTAGTATCGTTTAGTAGGTGAATATGTCGGATAGAATCTAATTTTATTATAGACGTCTATTAATGTGCCCATTAAAGCCTGACATGCATCAGGCCGCCTAAATCGTCTAATTCTAGTGAGCGACGTATGACAGCACTGAGCTACTTCAACAAAGACGGTGCTCTTTTTTATTTATATCTTAAATTTTTTTTAGGCAAAGCCTACAGGTGACAACAGCAGCACGCTAGCTACTGTCTGCCGTTGCTAATAAGTCAACGAGATTGTTTGTAGCAAACTTTTTGGTTTGTATTACTTGACTAGTCATGCCTCTGAGAATGTAGGATGAATTTCGCCCTTCAGAGCCAAAGTCTCGGTTTCTGATCATACCAAAAGTAAGATCGCACGAAAAATGTTTTTGCTTCCCTTGGAACAAGTGACGTAGGTCTGTTTACTAATACTTGTCAATTTTATGTCACTCATTATCCCGACATTGTATTAATGGAGCGGAGTTGCCTATTAAGGCAGGTTAAATTGTTTTCTGCTATCTAAGTGTAGTTTGAACCCAGCCAGTTTATAAACATTGAAAGAAAGGAAATGAACTATCGTTTATCAATGCGGATGCTATATACTGTATGGCGGTGTCGTCGGATACAGAATTCTGCGTTCCCCAACGAAAGTTGTAAAAAAAAGAAAAGAAAAAAAAACAGCACTTTACAGTATATGGGACTGCCAGCAGTTCTGCGGTTTTTTTATTAGTCGAGGTCATTTTGTATCAATCTTAGATTGGCTTTAAGGAAGTAATCGCCTTCTGAGAACGGTGGGTCTCATTCTTGAATCCCGGACAAAAGCTCACTGGACAGAAGCTCACCGGACAAAAGCTCAACCATTTTTTCACAGACCCGGACAAAAGCTCACCAGGAGAAAATTTAATGTTGGTCTTAAGACAAGTGCGGACAACTTAGGTGCATGCCTGCGACACTAAAATATTCAAATACCTTTACGACGCACAATGACGGAAAGAATTAATTTTCTTAACCATTCACTTCAAATATTACCTTGAACCCCAAGAAAACCCATGCACAAGGGTGCTCCGACATACCTTGAGTCAAGCAAGCTTGATCTTATCAGCTCCACTCAATTTCGGTGACCTAAATTTTGGTCCCAAATCGTTGCTTCTCTGCCTGTCACTGCTTATCTGTTGACACCTTTGCATGGAATGGGGTTCCAGTTCTCCTAAAAATGGCACAATGTCCGTCGTGTCCGCACGTTATCCAAACCCGTGCTTCGACCGGGCAGCAAAAAAAAAAAAAAAAATGAGGTGAGCTTTTGTCCGGTGAGCTTCTGTCCGGTGAGCTTTTGTCCGGTTACCCTCATTCCTAAACATTATGCTGTGTTCGTTTTCTTTTTCTTTTTTCTCTTGACGCAACGTGCATGAAGAGCTAGGGCATGAGAAACAATG